AAAAGTGTGCTGAATGCTTCTCTTGCATGCGGGTATCTGCGGGTACAGTGGGCACGCGAATTGATGCCTACCGGGTGTTTGTCTTCAAAGCCAGGCGAGTTTCAAGATGTGGTCAATGGGCTGCGATTCCAAAGCTGCCGCCTCAGAGTCACCCGGAAGCTTGGACTGGACACCAGTCGTTGCATCGACAGTGCTGTATCTCAAACCTGCCGCCTCGGCGCCCCCAGCATTCGTCTGATCCAAGGTGCAGCGCGAGCAGCAGAGAACCGCTTCTTTCAGGCGACAGCTTTAAAACAGAAAGAGGGCGCATCCATGGAGCAGAGATGACTAAGCATGTGTAGCATGGCCTGGCAGTTGCAGTTAGATTACTGACAAGATTTCATGACAGACTCATTCTTGTGTTCTCATTCCGGATTGCTGACTGGAATTCCACCGCTCTCACCGTGCGCACAGGCAAATTAGACTTATGCATCTCCGGGGAAGGGGGAGGGAGGGGAAGGGAGGGAGAGGGAGGGAGGGCTTTCCTTGATGTCATCTCAACTGGCAAGGAAGGCCGGATGCTGCAGCGCGAAGAGGACAGAGAGGGTGCCTCGTTCTGAGAGGCTTCATTCACAAGTCAGTGGACTGCACCGTTCTGCACAGCCTGCAGGAGCCGAAGTGGCATATGGCAGCAGAAGGGATGCTGACTGGCGAGCCACGTGGAGCTGGCACAGAATTCTGGTGAAGCCCACATGTCGTCCAAGCTGCGACGTTTGTCCCGACAAGCTCTGCACATGCTTTCTAAGCCACAGATAGGATCTGCTTCAGTCATGCTGTATTTGAAGGGTTTTGCCAGCTTTGCCAGGCTTCTTCTTTCCTGAAATGCTGGAGATCCTGGTTGCTGTCGCAGCCCCACCAAGCTCTGTGACTTTGTTCGTGTCCATGCAGCTGTTCGACAAGAGGCTCTTTGCAATCCACCAGCCGAAGGCATCCTTCCACACGCCTCCCCGGCTTTACTCGGAGCCCATACAGGACTGGGCGTTCCGGTTCCGCTTTTTGGATCGCTTGATGGCTTCCTTTCGGTGGGTGAGCGTTCACTCCCCTGCTACTTCTCATCCACAAGTGTGTCTAAACAGATGGTGCAACGTGCAATTAATTTTTAGGCAGCGTGTTCTCATTGAGTATGGTTCAAACAAGGCAACTATAATTAAGCCTTCAAGCGGATTCGGGTATCCCAGCGACAGGACCGTATCGAGCGCATCCATGAGATTTTTGGTGACTTGCTGCAGCTGCCACGGGAAGAGGAAGGGCGCGCCGGGAGCTCGGACCCGCGGCTGCGGCCCAATGAAGCAGAGATGCCTCTTATGGTCGTGACTGTGGGGACATGCCGCGTCGCAGCTTCAGAGTGTCGTGCTTGTTTCAGGCCTTCAGGGTGGATCTTTACTTGAAGGCGGGATGCAACCGCCATTGCACACGATCTCTGGCAGACCAGCTGCCCTCGGCATGGGATATTGCCAACGCCGCTGATGCTGGATGGTTTCACCTCCGTGCAGTGAAAGTCCTCTAGCTTTGCAGCCTCCAGCTGAAGTAGTATGCCCTGCTCCGGGCAGGCCACCACAGGCTTTCACGATACGTTGGGTGCTTGGATTTGCGGCTCAGACCTGTCACCTGGGCCTTGATATCCTCGGTCTGTTCTGCACCCGATAGTACAAACTTTTGTTGTAGAAGCGGCTCCTCAGCCACCACGGAGAATGCAGTGTATCCCAGGTAAATTCAAAGTCCTTCCTGCGGACATCAACCCATGATAACATGTTGCATGCCGGCCTGCAAAACAATCCCTTTTCTGCATCCAAGTTGTGCTTGGTAGCTCCTTGCAGTTTTCATTTCGCCTTTGTCAAGGCAGGAGCTGGCAGAAGAGTTGGAGATCAGTCCCCAGAGCCTGGATGAGGTGATGCAAGCGCCAGATCCCTGGATATGTGCTGCGCGTGAGATGCTGCCCACTTTCCTGGCGAAGCTTTACTGCGACCTGCGTCGTCAGGATTGATGCAGAGCTGCCTTTGCTCGCCGAGAGAAAGGCAGTGCTGGGTGCATTTGGATGTGCGTGAGACATATTAGCTTGTTGGAGTGGGGGTCGCAGGGTCGGAACAGGTACGTTGTGAACTTGGCTGTCCGGCGGGTGTGCCGAAGATGGTGGAAAATGCCATGACAAAGTTACTTCTGACACTGCTTTCTAGCTGAAGGATCCCCACATTCCGAAGCCGCCTGCGCACGTGGTGGATAAGCTCCCCGTCCAGCCGATGACCGCAGATGAGCGAATCGTATCGGCCTTAGCTGCGCATTCACACAGAAAAACGAAAGGTCCTGATGCCATGTGACATTGCTGCCGTTATCACAGAATCTGAGGACGACATGCAGAGGACGACACCTGAAATCGTTCGACTGGATACAAGACGGCCCACAGTTGGTGGGAGTGTGCTTCGCAGCGTTGCCTTGAGCACTTGCACAGTCGGGTGCAGAGAGCTTCAGCTTTGACCGGCTTTTTTCGGCAGGAGAAATCCCTTGGGCAAGACAGTAGCCGGTGGCAAGAAGAAGGGGCAAGCCCGACACTGTTTGGGGTGTGTGTATGCGGCATGGCATGGGTGCTGCCGACGTAGGCGAGTGGCCTCGGGTCTTGCTACTGCTATACCCAGGTGAGTGTAAGGAGGCCACGTTCCTCACCTTACAGTTGCACATGGCAGGAAGAAGGCAAAGGGTGCCAAGCAGCCCAAGAAGCGGGAGCTTTTCTACGGAAAGCTTCCGGTGAAATGGAACCAGGCCCGATCGTTTGAAGCCCATCTCTGGCGTTTGGGAGACACTGCAAAGTTTGGCGGAAACTGATACTCGTACTGCAAGTGTAGTAGAAATGGCTGCTGCTGCTGCTGCTGCTGCTGCTGCAGCATTGGCCGTTGACGCATGCTGCCCGTCAATATCCCGCTAGGACCCTATTCCCCTACATAGTGAACAGTCGAAGCTATAAGAAAAGTTAAGACCGTACAAACCCGGACCCTCCATAGGTGGAGCTTCAAGCTGTAGCAATGCCAGAGCGGATCACCAGCTGAGATCCCTACGAAGTTCGGAAACCCTGGCCATGACCTTACAGAAACCAAAGCGCGGGTGACTATCAGTGTGTCCCAGGTACAGTGGCTGGGGAAAAGACCAGAGCCACCAAAAGTTGTGATCCCTCCGATGTGGCGGGGACTCGGGTTGGGATGTAAGGCAACTTGAGCCTGCTCGCTGCACCGCAACGCTGCGTGACGAGTGCGGCAGGCAGACGGACAGCAAGGCAGCGATGCTGCGGCCGCGGCCTCTGCTCTCAACAATCCATGTGGAGCCGGAATTAATTTTCACATGTTAATGTTTCTGCGGGAGCCACCAGGAATCTGGACGAACACATCCTGCAGGAACGTGAGGAGGCAGCAACCTTCGTTCCCGGCAAAAGCAGTCTCTCCGTCATGGTGTGCTTGGCTGTGCTCTCGCTGGTCTTGATGCAATCCTCAGGCATGTCGCACTGATCAGTTCATTAAGTGAGTGTATTGAGTCGGAAGCTTCGCAGCTTAGGCCGTGGAGAGTCCCAAGTGCCTCAATTGCTGAACGCTTCAGTGGAGTGAATTAGCCTGCTCCTCCTGCAGTCGCGGGCCTTGAACACTCCATCCACTGGCTGGGTTCTTCGTCTACAGCTCATTGTGCCTTGGTGGCGCTTCGGCGCGAAGTTTCGGGCTCTGCTTCTCGGCTTCTCGGTGCCCGAGGATGAGCCCTTGCGGGCGCCTGTGTGCTCGAAGAGCGAAGAGGCTAGGCAGATGCTCGCCGCTCTCACCACGGATTCCTCGCACCCCGCAGCTTGCGGCAGGTGACCACACTGATGGAGGCAGCATCGGCTTCCCGGAGGCGCGTCCGTTGCGCTGTGCTGCTCTGGGAAGGCTTTGGATTAGCTGCTACTGTATGCGCCTCCGAGCTGAGGCTTCGGCAGTACGACAGCGCCATGGCCCTCCTTATCCGGGCCCGGCAGCTTTGGGTGGCGGTGGAGGCACCACAATGGAGGGCGTGAATTAGGGAGAGCAGCGTGGAATGTTGCCGTGAAACGAGGCCAGACAGCCGAGGGCAGCAGAGTGGGAAGATGTGCAAGCCTTGGTGCCTACGCACACCCCTCAGCTTGGAGCCAAGAGATGCAGCTCGCACGCAAGTCTGATGCAGATGATTGCAAGGCCATCTCCTTGGAGCTCAAGCGCAGACAGCGCGAGTCCGATGCAGAGGCCAGTTGTTGCCATGGAAAAGTCTGCCACCCGCTTTGCGTGGAGGTGGGCAGGAGCTGCCGAAGCCGGGAGCCTGGAGGAGCCTGGAAGCTTGCAAGAGCGCCGCATTCTAAAGCAGCTTGTAGGCTTCAGGGCCGTTCGAACCGGCGAAGCCTTCTAGAAGAAATGCATGGGAAACTCCTGTTGAGTCTCCGGTAGATTCTCTGCAGAGAGGATGGGCCGGCGGACAGGCATGTGATGCGCCACACTCATGACAAGCTCCGGTGCGACTCTGAAGTGAGTGAGAAGAGGAACATGACGAGATGGCGGTTAGTGTGCCTCGTTGTCGATGAGAACTGGTGTAGGACCATGTTGGCATGTATGGGCATTGGCTTTCCTCCGGCGTAGAGCTGCGATTCGAGCACTGGTCCCGATTCGAGCAAGCACGGCGAGTCAAGCACCAGCGATTAAAGCACACCAGCTGTACTTGCGACGGCAGGTCTGGCTTCCTCAGAAGACAAATCCCCGAGCCAGACTCCAAACCAGATAAACGTCATGCTGCCACTTGTGGCGCTTTCCGGCTCGGCCTGATACTGCGTCTGGCAGACAAACACACTTTTCTCGCGCAGAAGCCATGCACGTGCACATGACACGCAATCGAACGACATCATAACTGGAGCTTCGTCCTCAGATGGAGCATTGACTAGGACCAGGAGGAGCTGGATCGCACCATTTTCCCAGATGATCTCGGCGGCCGAGCGCTCAGCCAAGGTTTTCGGTTCGTCGTTGAAACAGACTATTGAGAAGTATCTTGACAGGCGCAAGGCATGAGCGTGAAGCTCGTAAGCCGATCAAACCCTCAGCATACACGCGCGTGTTTCAGGACGGCACTCCAAAGGCATGGCCGTTGGTCGCAGCCGCACAGAGACGCTGCCGCGAGACATACGCATTCGGCTCGGATGGACCACCAGCTTGAGATTCGGTGTCAGCCGGCAAGCAGAGCAGTTTTCAGGTGCTGGAGAGCAGATTCATCGGAGCATGACTGATCGGTTGGGGCGTACCAGCCCCGTTCCCAGCCGCCGCTGGAGGTGAGCAGCCTGCTCGTCGACAGAGTAAGACTGTGTCTGCTAGAGGTGGCCATCCCGCACGGTAGCACCGGATGCCGTCTTGTCTTGCAGCCCCAAGGTCCGGAGAGCGATGACCGAAGAACCGGCCTGTTTTGCCCGTTGCCGAAGGGCGCATGGCTGGCCTCTTTGCTGGCTTTCCTGCGCAGTGTCTTTGCTCTCAGAGTCGGTTTGCCCGAGATTGATTTGGTGAGGAAGACCGCAGAGAACAGCATCTCTGTCACCATCTCCCCCCCGCTCACTCTCTCTCTCTCTCTCTCTCTCTCTCTCCGTCTTTCTCTCGCTGTGCATCTTCCGTGGCAGGGGCTATGCCGCATGCACCTCTGGACTCCCTGGAACGCCGGCGCCAACGAATGGCTTCAAGGGGCTCGTTTCAGCAGAGTCGGCGAACCCAGTTGCCAGTGGTTCTAGTGAGCTGCAGAGCCTTTCTGGGGCTGTAGCGGCAGCGCAGCTGTAGTCCTCTTATTCCTAGAATCTAGCCTGGCCGTCTCATGCCGGATATGCCGGTTTCAGGCGACGCCCCGCAGTCGGCACGTGGCCGCTCACCCACGAGTCGAGCCAGCACTCGAAGCCCCGGTGCAACGAGGCCCGCCGGCCATGGCTTTGTCTCAGGCTTTCAAAAGGCAACCCTTCGAAGTGCAAAATGCTCCATTCGAGCTTTTAAGGTTCTTTAAATTAAAGTTTCTCTTGGATCCTGCACCGCCAATGCGGTTCTCAGAAGGTCTTGTGGGCATCAGAGCAATGGAGCCAATGGAGTTGGGAAACTTATCCTCAATGTGGCAACTCTTCGCTAAATATTCGAAAGAGGAGCTTCGAGGACTTGACAAGAACACGACTGCTGTGACTGCCTAGCACGCAATAACTGTGACCCCTCGCATGCGTGCAAGAGGCATGGTCTGTCTTTTGATCACTACATGAAATTAACCGCACACACCGTGCAACGACGACGTCAACGAAACAGCAACAACAACAACAACACCAGCAGCAGCAGCAGCAGTAGCAGCAGCAGCAGCAACAGCAACAGCAACAGCAACAGCAACAACAGCAGCAACAACGGTAGCAACAGCAACAACCACAAGACTACTCCTGCCGCTGCTGCTGCTGCTGCTGCTACTACTCGTAAATTGTAGTACTCCTGCTATTGCTCATGCTGCTGCTGCTACTACGACGACCACTACGGCAACGGCTGCTGCCGCCACTATTTCTACTGCTACTACCTTCGCTGCTGCCACTGCTACCACCACCACTGCTACTGCGATGGCCACTGCTGCTGCCCCTGCTGCTGCTGCTTCTGCTGCTGCTGTTGCTGCCACTGCTACCGCTACCGCCACCAGTGCTGCTGCTGCTGTTGGTGGTACTACAGCTACTTCTAAGCTAAGCTAAGCTAAACACCACGACTACCGCTACTCCTGCTACTGCTGCTGCTGCTGCTGCTGTTGTTCCTATACATACTTCATACACCCATACATGTGCGCGTGCACACACACACACACGCACGTAGGTAGATACATATACATATACACTTGCATCTACACATACACATATACATACATACACATACATATGTATATATATATATGTATATATATATATATAGTATACATACATATACACACACACATGTACATCTGTGCATACAAAAATACATGTGTGTGTCTATATGTACGCGCATATATATATATATACATCTGTGTGCATAGACAAGTATCCATGTACACACAAACATACATGTGCTCTGCAACATTCCGCCCCAGAGACATTGCCGAAGTCGGTTTGGTTATGAGGAGTCAACAAGCGTTGCATGAATGTTCGCGCCTTGCGCAAGGAAGTACAACCCCAAGACAGACTTTCCGTCTGCGCTGGGTGATCAGGAGGACCTCGAGCGAATCCCTCCACAGGCCTGGCGGAAATCTGCCAAGTCCATGGTGTAGCCAGCAAGTGCATGCCAGGCGGCGCTCTTCTTCTTCTGTGAGCTGGCATCCCTACATTCTACCGTGCAGGAGGACGAATCGTTTGCATTGTCTTAAACCGAGAATGAGCCATGACTGGCAGGATGAGCTCGCTGCGCAGCTGCTCTGGCGCGCTTTGGAACACAGCAGGAGGCGGGATAACAGGGAGTGTCTGTTTCAGACATTGTGGGAATTACGTAGACTCAGGACTTATCACTCGACCTCTGAAATTAGGGTCAGATGTGTCGGCAGCAAGTCGCAGGCTCCCGGCACAGGATGCAAACGTGGCGATGGTGTGGAACGGTGCCGAGCTCGGTCGCTGGCCGCCGCGAGGTTGACCTCTGACATCTTCTGACTGTTTGACTGCTTCATGTCTAACACGGTTCGTGGTCCACTGCACGCCTCCGCACTTCTTGCAAGCCCAATCAATCCGTTTTGAAGCTTAAGGAAAACAGGTGCAATGGCCGTTTCACGCAGCACTGCATGTCTGCAACATGCTCTCAACGCCTGCATTGAGAACACGAAGGTGGACAAAACTAATGGCAATGCTCAGAGACATCCATATCTGCTATGCTAGGATCAACTAGCCGGCAACTACCTTGTCTAAATTCCAGGGTCCTCTGCCCGAGGCCTCGGTCGAGTGGCTTTCCACATCGGCAGGTTTGAAGATGCCACGCGCCTCCACATGCAGCCACCTTACAGAACGGGGCAGGGTCGGCAGTGTCCTCATGATGTCGCGATGCATTGCATGGAGACTGTTGAGGGAGACGTCGAGGATCATCTGTTCAACGTTTCGAAAAGGGATTAGCAGTTCAATTCGCGGCGTGGTGGTCGCAATGCCGTCATGTCCTGTTTTTAGTGTAAACAGCATCGCTACGTTTGACCGGCCTGTGAAGATCTGTGAAGCCCACGGTAGCTGCAGGCGGGCCCGTAGCATTCGTGAGAAGGCCCTCGGTGGGCCTGGGCCTTGGTCGTTCTGGAGATGAGTGGGCTTGGGAGGTACTACGTAAGTCCTGCTTTACCGAGATGCTCTCCTCTGTCACCCCAAGGGATACCATCGACACGGCCACTTCTTACAACAATCTCGCCTGCTGCCTCGCTGCTTTGGACCGGCACACAGAGGCACGGCCACAAAGTCTGCTGCAGCACTTGCTCGGAAATCATCTCTAATGTGTGCAAAGCCATACGGTCATGACGGTTGCTGTACCTAGCAAGCTTGCACAGCAACTTAACTTGTGCATGCTGCTTTTGTTGCTAGCACGAGAGCAAGAGTGCAGGCAGCGGCATTTACGGAGCTTGCTGTGGAGATCTTAAAAGAACTGGCCGGAGAGGACATTGTGCATCAGGTGCTAGACGATGCCTGTTTCATCGCACAGTTGCTAACTTGATAGCCAGCCAGACTTTCCAGTTTGTGGTCTTCGTCTGCAGACAGCGCAAGCTGCTTATGTTGCTGTCCACAACGTTTGTCAGTAGCGCACGACATGTCCTCCACACGGAGCACTTGTGCTGCTTCCTGGCCGTATGATGGATGTCGGGTCCAAAGCTGCGAAAAAAACATCTGGATCATGACGGGGCTGCATTCGCGTTTGGCGTCAGCCGGTGCCGAGACAGCAGCCTCATCCTGCTGTTCGTCTTGTGTTAGAACCAGTGCGCGTGCCGAAAAGTCTCTTGTGCATGCCATGCATAAAGTCGTGCATGTCTGACGCTATCTGTACTCTTCCATTCTCTATTGTTCGTGCCTCCAGTCAGACAGAGCAGGCTACAAGCACTGGCCACAGAGCTTTCGATCAGCATATGATAGCCCTCAAACGTCCTATGTCTGACTTTGCGCTGTATCCAGCCAGGACCATCCGAGGACCTTGACGGCAAGCCGGAACCTGACCAAGGCCCTCTCATGTTTAATGTATATGTGTATATATATATACACATATATACACATACATATACGGATACGTACACAAAAACATATATATGTATGTATAGTATATATGTATAAGTACACTTAGTTAATGCATTGGCTCATAAGTTACTGTTTGGTATCTTTATCTATTCAGCTGCTTAATGACTTTTACTTGTGCATGTGTTTGCTTTCGCCCTAGGATGCAACTAATCTAACAGAGGCGGAAAATTACGAAGCTTGGCCGGGACAGAACGATTCGAGAAGAATTCATTTTACCTTAATCTCGTTGGCTTGATTACGAGTGGAAGCTCCGGATCAGGGGGCTCAGTTAGGCCATCGTTGTTGTTTGTTTCCTTAACTAGAATGCATGAACCTCAACACTTGTTCTCGGATCGAGACTGCATCCGACAGCTGGTAGAGCTGGCTTTGGCTTTGGAACCGTGGCCTTAGATCGAAAGCAACAGCATGTCAACGCAGGCAGGGCTCATCATGAAAGATGGGTCGATGCAGTGGGCAGAACCTTAAACAGGGCAGAGTGCTGGAGTTGAAAGCCAAAGGTACGCACTGCTCCGAAAAAGATGTCGCTGGAGGCACAGCGCGGAATTGCATCCACCATCAGAGGTTTCTGAGTTTGTTGCATTCGAAGCACAGGATGTCTGTCATTTTGGGCAATGAATCACGCTTGTTGAAGGATTCCTTTGAGTGAAGCGATATTGCTAGTGCGTTGCAGGCGCCCCATCTGTTCAGCTTACCTTTGCACGCCTGCCGCTCAGGGTTTACGGAACACGCATTAATGCAGCAATCTGTCATGAGCCTTGTAGCGACACTCACCCTGAACAACCAGTGGAACTAGAGGGCTGCATCTGCGTGCTGGGCGTTCCCGCACGTCTTTCTGCGCTGAGGACTTCACAGCAGCTTTGCGAGGGCCCGTGCCCGAGGTTCCCAGAGCGGTGGACCCTATCCGCCCTATCCTGACACTTTTTTTTCCTGTGTAGTGTTTGCATTTTTATGAATTAGCCATGCTGGTTGCGATTACGCTAAACAATTATTCTGGGCCGTGTGTGCAGGTAAATGTAGTTACCGGTATTGCATGTCTCCCTGATGTATTGCCTCAGGACATAGACCTGGGCAGTCGAGTAAAATTGGAAATTCATCCTAGGCGGCGCAAGAAGAAGAAAAAGAAGTCTCGAAGCGGGCTGCAGCCTCGGTTTGGCCATCTACTTGCAGCAGGTTGCAACTTCCGCCCAGGAGAGAGGACCCCCAACAGCAACGCTTGACTGCGAGATGTGTGCTTCAATCCTCCTGTTCAGTCGAGTGCTCGTTATTCAATCCCCCGAAACGAATGCGGACCATCAGGGGTCTGAATTCTGGGCAGCAGGTCGAGCAAGAGCAGCAAAAGCAGGAAATGAGGTGGCAGGGTTGAGCAGACCCAGAGCACATTCCGAAGCCAGCACATCGTCGCATCAAGTCAGCTCATCGTCGCATCAAGCGTGTGTTGGTTGTGCTCGATTCAGATCTTATGCTGGTCGTCGGAATGGCAGAACGGTTAATGTCCGGCTGCTAGGTGAGTCCGTGCAGTGTCGTTAATGGCGATCCGTGCCGAAGAACGGCGTGGGGGTATCTGATAGAGACGCCTAAGGCGCACAGATCAGAAGGTTGCGGATACCGCACCCTGCCGACAAAAAGCCCAGAGTTTGCGTCTACACTTCTCCGTCGGGGCATGATTTTGCAGGCCTCATTAGCTTCCTCAGCATCGCCTTCAAGCTCGCAATTCATGGCCCCTAAGTAATTATCCGTACTGCCCGCTCTAGACTAGACACCTGCAACTCAAATTATGATCCTGCTGGCATTTCCCAGGAAAGGAAAGCATCTGTGGAACAGATGAGGTTTTTGGCCACGTGTTGTTTGTGCGGCGTGGTTGGTGCGCAACAATTAGCGCGACACTCTCTACCAGTTTCTCAATGGCGAATGAATTCGAGGAACTATTTACAAGCTGGCGACGCCCGCTCCTTCTCGCTGTCGGAGCAGACTGGAGATGCTGACCAGTTGCTGTGTCAGGTTGGCTCTGTCATAAGCGCAGGCTTGCCGGGACGTTTGCCTTGGAAAGAGCTGTTTGAAGCCCATGCTGTTGCATCTCTAGCGACACTAGGCAGAACAACTCGTTCCACTGCGGAAGCAGACTCGGGGTTTATTTAGTTCTCGAAATAGAATGCCTGGGGGGTGTTATTTGTAGTAACATAGACACCCATGAGCCAAGGAATCGCTACTTCCCTTCCCACCTCAACATCGTGGAGCCTTGTGCTGGCTGCGGCCTTCTTGCTGTGTTCCTCGTCCTCCTAAACCGACGTCGTCATGTGCGATGCTCGGACAAGCAGCGGCCCCGCATCGCACGCGAACTGGCGCAGTGCGTTGAGAAGGAATGGCCTTTCCTTGCCCATCAGATTCGATGGGAGGAGGCAGACCTTCGCAAGTCAACTTTGACAGTCGCTCCAAGCGAACTAATTGTTTCTTGCCATGCCTGCAGTTTTCTATCTGACGAAATGATCTTAGCTGCAGAGCAGAACCGCAGACCTCTCGTTTTGGTACCTTGTTGTTATGAGACGCAGCCCAATCTTCCCGATCGTCCCTGGCTGCCAAATTGGTCCTGGAAGAGATGGCCCTGGCTTCTAGAGGGGGAAACCAATCGACTCGGGCGCTCAACGATCCACACAGCTCGCGTAGAGTTCTTGAAAGCAAAAGGCTACGACGTCGTGATGGATGAGATTGACCGGCAAATCACCGAAATGAATCGCGTCATCATCGCACGCCCAGCCTAGCGAATTCGCAGCCGCGCTTGCTGATGGTCACGAAATGCTCCAGCGCTGGTTTCCGCTCGAGCAGAATGATACCTGCAAATGTCCTTTTATTGGAATCTGGAAGGGCAACATGAGCATCCAAGCAGACATGCTGAACAGCGTGGCTTGGCTGCTGTCCTGTTCGGCTCGTGGCGCAACATCTTGGGAGAAGGGTGAGGTGGTATGCCAGCTGAAGCACGGCTCTCGTTCTCCAAGATGCATGTTTTGATAAAACGAACGAACATTAGTGAGTTATATACGTATATATATATTGAATTTCTCACATTATTAGTTTTGCATCTATGAATATTGAAAATATTTGAAGGTCTTTATCTTCGGATTTTTATTCGGACTTAAGATATAAATTGAAATATAATGTCCGCGAAAGATTCGCGATAGGTCCGCAAAAGGAAAACAAAAAGTTGCAAAAAATAATATGTAATAGGTTTGGGGCGCGTAAAATTAAGAAATATCGTTTTATTATCGATTCCTAGCTATAAATAATTAATATCATATTAGATTTATATTAATGGTCGTAAATATTAAAGATAAGGTTAAGGATATTATTCGAATAAATCTATGATAGTTTATCGTAAAATAGATTTTTAATAATTTTCTAAATTCTTTTTAGTCGATGATTTGATGGAGATAATTTTATTATTTATATAATTATTAGATTCTTATATAGTATTAAATAGATATATTTTTAGAGACCGAGTCGTTATGAGAGTGTGTTTTTTTGTATTTTCGTAGTACTATTAAAATATTATCTCGATATGTTATATTTAGATTTGTATATTTATGTAGATATATAGGGGTTAATATATATATGTCTTAATTATTGTTACTCGATATATAATTTTCATTATATAACTTTCATTAAATTTTTTTATTCTTTTATTTCTCCGACAAATAGAATATTTTTGCTTAGGTGTTAGTTTATTTACACATACTGTACATATCTCTGTATCTGCTTCGAAAAAATTATACTTATTATAACATTTTCTGGAATTCACAAAACTTAATAATTCTGCCTTCTCTTTACGACAAAAACCCTGACCCGTAACATCGAAAAGCCCTTACCAAACCACCTTACCAATTAT